GCGTATTAAACTCATCTCCAGATCGGATTTGGGTGCAGCCTGAGACGCTCCTGGTGGTAATGCAATTCTCCTGGGTGTTACGAATTATCTTTTGCGTTGTGGGTGGTACCGGATCCTTGAATGCCATCAGCAGAAAGCCTTCTCTTGGGAATGGTCGCTACGCTGTGTTGGTATGTGAGACACCAATCAGCGGGTTCAGGCTGTTCCACCCAAATCGGACCTGTGCTTTCTCTGGGGGTAAAGTGCACGACTGCCGACCGAGGTCACCTCCGTAAATTCACGCGCATTCCAATGAGCACCCGCCAACACCAGTTAGCCACCGCCGTCTCTCACGCATCTCCGCATGGCGTTTTTACCGCTCTCGCTCCCGCCGACCAGCCGCCATCGGACGTCTCGTCTTTCACAAAAACCGTACCGCCCGCTGAGTCAGCTGGCCGTCTCCGCGGGGCGGATACTGCGCCGGCATGCAGCTCACGCCCGCGGCGGCATCGGCTAACTTGATTTGGGCGGCTGACGTGGGAGACGGGAGAGGGGGGGGGGGGGAGAGGCGGTGACTCAGTCTGCCGTCGCAGACTGTCGACGTCGATGATGTCGACAGGCCGTCACGTCGGCAGCGACGATGGAGTCCTCGTCTCTCGCGAGCCGCGGGGGAGGCGGCGCTGAGTGCAGCACGTACCGCCGCGAGGGGCGGGGCACTTACGAGAGGCGCCGTGGTGTTTACGAGAGGAATGACACACAATGGCAGCTGGATGGACGCGGTGATAGTCGGCTGCGCCCACGTGTTCCGGCTCTCCGGCCTGCAAGGCCAGTGTCTGTGTGCCTGGGCGAGGACTTGATATGCGTCGGCGCGCCCACGTGTGCTGGGACACTGCCGCGGACACTGGCTGAGATATGCGTCCGCGGACACTGCCGCGGACACTGGCCGCGGCAGTGTCCGTGTGCCCTGACAAGGACGAGATGTCGGCGCGCCCACGTGTGCTGGCCGCGGCAGTGTCCGCGTGCCCGGACGAGGCCTCGGGGCCTCTCAACGCTTCCCCGGTGCGACCTCCCCCGGCCGGCTGGCGTATCGACCATGGGGCTCGGCACGCTTCCCTGGGGAAGGCCGGCCCACAGACAACAGGGCTGGGAAATAAGATACGACGTCTGTGAGAGACTTGGAATACCACAACGTGTCGATATCGAAGGACGGAAATGAGGCGGTACGGTAATGATGACACGGCTTAGATAGGACGGGAGAAAGCGATCAAGCGGAAATGTGTAACGATGACAGACATTCTGCTTGTGGGTGAGCACCTCAATTGGCCACGTAAATATCAGAACAGCCGAATTGATGTGTTGCGCAGACTACGACATGATGTTTTATTAATTACGTTGGCTGCACTTACACGCATTTTTCGAGCACACGAAGCAGCTGGCGCACTTTGGTATGTTCACGTCACCATAGTATGCTTCACATCACCTTGGTATGCTTAATATCCTCCCACGGCCGCCAGGGGTTTTCGTGCGGGTGGACTGAAAGACGGCGGCTTAGCGCACCTTGTAGTGTCATTTCACGGAATACTTTCACACGGAATCATTTGTTGCGGGAAGTGGCAGAAACCGACTGACCTATAAAAGAGAGCAGGCCGGCAATATCGACGTCAAGTCCCGTTTAGGAGATGGATGAGAACAAATATGATGTCAAACAACGGGACTGCATTTCCGAATAAGCAGCTTCCTCCTGTCTACCACCATTTCGAGCCCGACGTTCTACAGCTCCTTGGTCAAACCCACGTCTTCCCGCTTATCTTTCACTGTCTATTCATCTGTGGAGGCGTCACCCAATGTCCTACGCACAAGCTTCAAAACTGGCCAAGCTCGCGGCCAGGCTGGATACAGGGCTGCGGGGGCAGGGGTAGATACAGGGCTGCGGCGCCCAGAGTGCGTTACAGCTGCGCTGGAATCGTATTACACTTACGCTGGAATTATATTATACCTGCGCCGGAATAGTATTACACCTGCGATGGAATCATATTGTACCTGCGCCGGAATAGTGTTACTACACCTGCGCCGGAATAGTATAACATCTGGGCTGGAAAAGTATTACACCTGAGCAGGAATCGTTCGGTTGGCGTAACCGGAAGGTCCAGGTTCGATTCCCCGTTGCTGTCCGTCCTTTCTGCCAGGTTGAAAGGCAGACGACGCCACATGGCCTCAGCAGCTGAGTGCGTCGTAAAACGCCAATAACACATATTGGCATAGAGGGAGGGTATGGCACACCAGCATGACTGCATTTGAGTTCTAAAAGCCCTGACTGACTGTATCCCTCTGCAGTTAGGGCAGTGTTTGTTGGGCGTGCTCAGGCGTCTCAAAGAGAACCCGTGCTGGGATAGCTGGGGTGCTCGGGCTTCTGAGGGACACGTCAGCGGGAACCCATCAAGCATTTGTGCTCAAAGCGGCAGCAAATAGGAACACACGTGTGGGTTAGTTACCTACTGATTTAATGCATACCCGGAGCACGCATTGGGGGAGCACACAAGACGTGTGCCACACAGCACACGTCTCGTGCTGTTTGCATCGCAGTGCATTACATTTACGTTCATTTATCGTTTTTACCTTTGGCTGGATTCTCGAAAAAAGGGTTCTGATCCTGGCTCGTGTCCTGATATGAAATTGTAGACGGCCACCACGTCGAAGACACCGATGTTTCAGGTGCGCTATATTCCATAACCGCCCATCGCCAACACCGCGCCTCAATTCCTCGTGGACGCTAACAGGAAAGCAACGAAACCTCGGAAATGAACAGACTAGACCTAGAACTAAACAGAACGGAAACCGACAGAACAGAGTCTAAAATTAGCAATACAAAATGAGTACGAAAATAGCATGGATTGGCAAACACTTAATTGAACCTCAAGGTAATAGCAAACTAAGTGACTCAACAACGAGAAACGAGCACTAAATCAGACTAGAAATGCAAACGATACACCGACTACAAAATTACAGGGACAACCTCCTCTCATGGCAAGAAGAATCTTCTTTGCCCCTCTGACAGTTTTTTAGTTGTTGTACTTTGGCGGCATTTTAAGGTCTCCCGGTCCGGTTCAGCATCACTTGACGGGACCTTGGCGGACAGGGCGGACAGTATCGACAAATAGCGGGATTAGAGGCAAGTGACAAAATAATCTGAAGTTTTTGAGCCTAACCGGTTTTCCTTCTTTCACTGTTTGACTGACTAACGGGTGGATTGATAGATCTTTTGTTGCTGCGGTAATCTACTGTGGTCATATTATGGCCACATTACGAGCAATTTATTCACAGAACGTTTTATGGAATCTAACGGTGGAAAGTGGAGCCATCAGCGCGTATGAAAAGCCGCCGGTCAGTTTACGAACAGGCCTCGGGCGCTTCCGGCCCTAAGTCAGCTGAGCCCTCGACCACTGGGCAGTACGGGCAGCGGTGATCAACCGTACGAGACACTGGGCAGTGCGGGCAACGGTGATCAGCCGCATGAGACACTGGGCAGTGCGGGCAGCGGTTATCAGCCGCACGAGACATTGGGCAGTGCAGGCAGCTGTGACCGGCCACACGAGACACTGGGCAGTGCGGGCAGCGGTGACCAGCCGCACGAGGTCCCTGGCGGGAGGCGGTGGGTGCTGTGGTCCCCACCGCATGCAGCCGGGTCGCTAGTGGCGCATCCGGACAGGGCGGAGCAACCCCGCCGACGTCAGCAGTCGCTCCGAAGGGCGTCACGTGGGAGGAGAAGCGGGGGGGGGGGGGGTCCGCAGCCCCGCCAGTCGCTCCGAAGGACCTCACGTGGGGGGAGAAGCGCGGGGGGTCTGGTGATTAAACCGAACAGCACGTGGTAACGGCGTCGGCACGATCTGTCGCTGTAGTCGACGGCGTTTGTGGAGAGTTGTGCGGCGAGCAGCAGCGGATGACTCACCGCGTCAGGCGCTTACAAGAAGCGCCTGAAGCGTCCGTCCCGCGCCGTTATTTGAGCTAAATCGGGCGCCGTCTCCTGACCACAGCGGGGTGGGCTCGCTCGCCCGCCAGGCTGCGGTTGGAGCTCCCCGTCGGCGGTGCGAGCCAAGCCGCCCTGATCGTGACCGTGGCGTCGTCGTGAAGTGTTACATGGACGTGAGGCAGTCGGCTGACACAGATACGCCGGCGGGGATGTGGGAGATCGGAGATTGGAAGCATGATGATCGGTGATCTGTAGTGCTTGTATCAGGCTATCATCTACGCAAGGTCATAAACGCTGCCGACATCACTTACAGCACTGATATCACTGCTGACATTAAAGCAGCAGGCAGCGTGACAGTGACTCTCCTAGTGAGCCTCTCCAGTGCCTTTAGAGATAGTCATGACGTCTGAGATGTCAGAGGACGTCATGAGTCTTAGAGGTCACGGGACCGGTGGGTGATGAGCCTCTCTAGTGACTTTAGAGATAGTCATGACGTCTTAGATGTCAGAGGACGTCATGAGTCTTAGAGGTCACGGGACCGGTGGGTGATGAGCCTCTCCAGTGACTTTAGAGATAGTCATGACGTCTGAGATGTCAGAGGACGTCATGAGTCTTAGAGGTCACGGGACCGGTGGGCGATGAGCCTCTCCAGTGACTTTAGAGACAGTCATGACGTCTTAGATGTCAGAGGACGTCATGAGTCTTAGAGGTCACGGGACCGGTGGGTGATGAGCCTCTCCAGTGACTTTAGAGACAGTCATGACGTCTTAGATGTCAGAGGACGTCATGAGTCTTAGAGGTCACGGGACCGGTGGGTGATGAGCCTCTCTAGTGACTTTAGAGACAGTCATGACGTCTTAGATGTCAGAGGACGTCATGAGTCTTAGAGGTCACGGGACCGGTGGGTGATGAGCCTCTCTAGTGACTTTAGAGACAGTCATGACGTCTGAGATGTCAGAGGACGTCATGAGTCTTAGAGGTCACGGGACCGGTGGGTGATTCTTGGCGTGACTTCGCGGACAGGTCTCGTCCTCACAGCGCCACCACTTCGCAGGCCATGTCGGGGATCGACCAGAGACATTTGCTCAACAAGTGTTTGGTGATTGACCTGCGGCGGTCTCCAGAGAAGGTCACCAAAGGTCATCGCAACGGGCAGAAGCACGGCGCCGAGGAGGATGGCTTCGTCGTATTCAAAGTGAGTGAGGCAGCGCACTCATATGTGTTCGTTTGGATTGTCTTATTGTGTGAAACACACAGACAAGGCAGCGTTTGCCATGTCATGTACAATGAACGATGTGCTATGCAATTGCCGAAGAACATCGTTTAGTTTGAAATGTGTGGATTTAACACGGATTCGATGATCAGCAGCAGCGCACGCATATTATCAGCACACGAATGTTTCTCATTTTACGACGCGTTTCTGTCTTCCTGTCTCAGGTCGCCGTGTCGTGCACAGTGATATTCAAGGGTCAGTTTTTGTACCCGCGCTTTTTTGAACTAACGTAAGATAAATTCGTCTCAATCAGAGTGTCTGCGTTTCATAACTTAATGCTTGTCGCGTAGTTGTTGATGAGCGGACCTGGCTGTTAATAAGTTTGTCTGAGCCGTCGTTTTACAGCCTACTTAAAGCATAGCATAGAGCATAGCCGGCAGCGACGCGTTGTTTGCCATGGCAACAAACGATACCCTTCCACGAGCTTTTATGTGGTTGGAGAAAAAGGATTTGAGCTTTCTTTTATACCAGAAGAACGTAGCAAATTGCCTTTACCCGAAATCTCTTAAAGTGACACCAGTATCACGGTGTCCTTCTTCATCACTTTCACGTCAGCTGCGCTGTATATTCCCCTTCTTTGCCTTGCCATGATATTCCCGACCAGATTTCTCTCCACACACCTTCAGAAACACACAGTGGGACGTTGCTAACAAGACCTGCTTCTGGCCGTCATTTCTACTCTTTGTTTGCAATCACTGCCGGTCAAAATGTGACAATCATCGTCGCTTGTCTTCTGTAAGCGACACTTGACGTTGCGTCATGCTGCATAATTTCGTGATGCACGACTGTCTGGATGTACCTGCGTCTAGCCCGGCAGCCAGCGCTGTCTTGGCTCTTGACTTTTAGCGCCCCATTCACCGGCACTTTCATCTGCACTCCACGTCAGCAGACACTGGAGGTGGGGGGTATAACTGTTTGGGATGCCGGCTGCAGATGTTCTCTTTTTCATTCTCGAATACTGAACGAAAATCCCTTTGCACTCTGCAGTGTGGTCATCGGTAATGCACTTTGCGTGGCCCTCTGACTCAAGTCGGCAACATCCACACCATCAGCAATTCCACGCATGCAGCTCTTCTCTTCTCTGCAATGTTTGTTGCATGACCTTAGTTCAGATATTACCATAGGCCCTCCGCCCCCCCCCCCAAAAAAAAACCGATAGCGTCGATTCTGATATGCCTAATCTTCCTTCGAACTGGACTGGGTGCTTGTTGGCATACAGCCACCTCGTATAAATAAGCTGGTAGTGCGCAACCATGGTTACCACTCTCGATTTCAGTTTATGAGCGAAGGGTTACCAGACATTGTAAAAACTTGACTCAGCTACTCGAAGACCAGGTCAAAACATCGTGGTGAGATTTAAAAGTTAGATGTTTTAGCACTCATGTGTCTTTGTACGCCAGTCGCCTTACCCCACGGCTATGGACCCACTGCTTTCAGGCATTTCACTCCTTGTCATAAATGTGAACCGGATCACTTGGTGTCAGCCGTTCTGGACGAGTGACAATCACTTTGTGTCACATAGTGTCAGTCGTATCGAACGAGTGACGATAACTTGGTGTCACTTGGTGTCAGCCTTGGTGTCAGTCGTGTCAGATGAGTGACGATCACTTGTTGTCACATGGTGTCAGTCTTGGTGTCTTGGTCTTGTGTTTTGTCCGTTATATGGCCCAACCTCAGCCATGTAGCCTGAGGTGGTCGTGTCACCTAGTCCTAGTGATGTCAGCACATGTCAACCGTGCCATTCGGTATAGCCGTGCCACCAGGTATCAGCCGTGTCAACGTGTGCCAACCACGTGAACCGATTTCGGCCGTGTCAACCTCTGTAACTTTCAACTGTTGTCAGCAGCGTCAAAACACCTTAATAGTAGCGACATGTATCGACCGTGTCAACACGTCATCCGTGTCAACACGGACGAGGCGCTTCAACAGGGTCAACAAATGCCAGATGTAGCAACACGTGTAAAATGTATTAACACGATTCAGATGTGTCAACACGTGTCAGATGTATCAACACGTGAAATATGTGTGAACACTTATGAAATGTGTCATTATGTGTCAGATGTACCAACACTATCAAATGTATCAACACCTGTCAGATATGTCAACACGTGTCAGCCGTGCCGTCGTGGCCCTCCTCGCAGCGTGCCCTGCCTTCCCCACAGGCGTGGCTGCACACAAACCTGGAGACGTACTGGAGCCCTCCGCTGCTGTCGGCACTACGCCGGCTGACGCTGGTCGGCCTGTTGCGGCCCTGTATGTTCCTGGTGACGGCACCGTCCGGTCACCTGGAGGTCATCCGCACCGCCTGGAGCCAGCGCACGCTCCGCGCGCCGCCCGGCTACACTGTCGCCATGCTAGGTCAGTGGGCGGGGCTACAGTGTCAACGTGCTAGGTCAGTGAACGGGGCTACGCTGTCGTCACGCTAGGTCAGTGGGCGGGGCTACAGTATCGACGTGCTAGGTCAGTGAGCAGGGCTACGCTGTCGTCACGCTAGGTCAGTGGGTGGGGCTACAGTGTCGACGTGCTAGGTCAGTGGGCGGGGCGGCGGTGGAGCTGTGCTTGGGCGCTTGGTGGCGCTACAGTGGCGCCGTGCTAGGTCAGTGGGCGGGGCTACAGAGTTGCCATGCTAGGCCACTGCGCTGTGTGCTGGCCGGCAGTGGAGAGGGCGCGGTGCGTGATACTGGAGCAGGTACCTATGGCGCTGTGCCTTTTGACCTAGAAGTTGAGGTCGGATATTTTAGGGGTAGCTAAATTTAAACACGCATTGGGGTAGGGGGTCAATCTGACCCCCTCTATGAGGGTTTCCGGAATGACTTTTGAACGGAACGGCCTGGCCACGCCCAGCTATGTTTAGCTGTAGACAGTTGAATAACTGATCTTTTGGCACGAAAATATCAGATACACCATAAGGTCACTGACCAGCAGTAGGTCAAAGTCAGGCCAAGGCTGTCTGCAAAGGCAATGTCTAGATCATCTTTCAAGCTGATGTGACAACTGAGTGTTAGGCGAAGCCATGCAACTTTAAGACGGCTCCTTCGAAAATTAAACATTTTGAATCAGCTAAACTATTGGCTGCTTGGGTCATGCATGAAGGTCAGATCAAGGACAAAACCGAATCAATTTCATTGGAAAACTTGTCTTATGGGGTTGCTTTTGGTGGTGATGTCAAATTCCTGGAGCACGCGGACGGCGACATATCTTGTATTTTAACTTCCTGAAGGTGAAGGAAGCTCATTAACTTCCAATGACCTCGATCAGCCTCTTGCTAGAGGGAGCATGCCGCACGGGGAAGTTGACGATTATAAGGTCAAATATTAAACCATTTTCGAAGGACTTTTATCCTTTTCATCATTCTAAGTTCAAGTGAGGTCCTTGACTTGATATCAAATTGAGTGATATTTTGCTTAGGAAAGTTATCTAAGTTAAAGTGCTAGTAGCGTGAGGAGGTTTGGGGCACCTCAGACTACCGATCACAAGTTTGACCTTGTCTGACCTGATTTTACCCGAAGGTCACGATCTAGAGACCTAGTGTGACACAGATGAGCTCACATCAACCGAATTGTTTATCTCTAGCTGCTTTAGCTTTTGAGATATCAGGGCGTCAACTTCCTCTTCGCGGTTTCATCTGATCAGATCAGATCAGGAACTAGTTTTTTTTTATTTGATTCCCGCTGTTCACTTCATTGCGTATTTGGGAAAACGTCAGAAGTAGGATTACTCCCAGGAGCTAGAATCGCTTTTGAACCAGGGTGGCAGTGGAAAATTTCATCGCAAAGAGATCGTGCGGGAGTGAAAAAATCAATTCAGAAAAGATGGAACTTATGAGCTTGTGACTGATGCTTCAGCAAACACATCTATTTCAAATTGACATGGACGTAATATCAGGAACCTGACAAAACTATTTCGTTTTTTAACATCTTAGGCCCTGAAATTGAAACAGAATACATTAACACGCGCTCGGGTGTGGGGGCAATTCCCCCCCCCCCCCCGAGGGCTTTTCCCGAATGGTTTCTGAACGGCGCGGCGTAGCCGCGCCAAATTTTGTATAGCTGTAGAAAATTGCATAGCGGATCGTTTGACATAAAAATTTGACATGTACCTTGCAAGGTCGCTGACCTATGACAGGTCAAATTCAGCCCATGGTTTCAGCGAAGGCAATTTCTAGGGAATCGTTCAATCTGATGCAACAACGGAGTATTTGACGAAGACATACATCTCTGAGATGCTTTCTTAGGGATACAAAATATTGAATGAGCAAATTACGTTGACCTAAGGTCAGGTATGATGATCAGACCAAGGTTAAAACAACCTGATCTATTGCTCTAGGGCTTGCTGTACGTGATAGTTTCTGGTGCTCATTTCGAATTTATTCGACAGGAACCGCATTATAATCTTCAGTTGACTTCTTAGAGGTCAGAAAAGGCCATTGACTTAAGATGACCCGGGTCGAACGTTTTGTTTTAGGAGCATAATGCCTAGCGTAATCTTTGTCGCTTATTCAAATGCAAAACGCAGAGCAGTCTTGTATCATTTTGGTCACCATGATCTTCAAAGGGTCAAACAAGGTCATTGACCCCAAATGGGCTTGTGACCTTTTGCTTAGAGACAGTTGCCTAGGTTCTGCGGGCGCTTTGGAGACCAACCTGTAATTTGACCTTGTTTGACATTATTCGACCTGAAGGTCATGCCCCAGGAAGCTGAAACCTTAACCTAAGTGAGTTCACGTATAGGTCAAGACACCCTGTAAATTTAGTGTCTCTAGCTTTGTTAGTTCCAGAGATCTCAGAGGGGGGCCAAATTGACCCCCCCCCCCCCCACCCGAGCAAAAGGTATCTAACCGGCCAACAGAGCATGTGTTAAAGAATAGTAATTTCATGACAATATTATGAGCATGACAAATTATTAACACCAATAATTTGATGCTGCACTTTTCAATTCCCTCCCACAGCACAATTCACCCGAGCAAAGGGTATCTAACCGACCAACAGGGCACGTGCTAAATCATAGTAATTTCATGACAGTGTTATAAGCATAACAAATTATTAACACCAATAATTTTATGCTGCACTTTTCAATTCCCTCCCACACACAACAAAACAAAGCAAAGGAATTCAATAACAAAATAACAACGGAAAACTAAACAAGCATACAACACTCAAACAAACAAAAAACCTTGGACTCCTACACATCAGCCCATCACCAAGTCAAACACAATAGACATACTTCTGGCTTCTGTTAAGATGGGGTCAGGGAAAACAAACATTTTGTCACTGTTTCTTACAAAATACCAGTGCTTATTTCCATCAAAGTAGCCTATGCTTAATCTAAAGAGGCCTTACATCATCTCATCCTGTATAACCTGTTTGTATCACAGCAGCAGTTGTGAGTTACTGATTCTTGCACAATTCCTATTGCCACTTGATTTGCACTAGACCAACTTAACCTAACTTAGAACAGTCCATATGATGAATATCATCTCAGCTCACCTATCTGTTGACAGCAGCACTTGTGATAAAAACATGATATTTAAAGCTGGCTTTTGGCTGGTTTCAACTTGCATTTTTATTCAGTTCATTTGTGTATGCTTGTTGACATCGGACAAAGTTGACAACACACAAATCAAAGCACTTTAAATCACTTCGAACAACTTATTTTGACTGTTATGGCTAACCTGTGTCAAGGGCAATAATAGCCACGCTCCACAAAACGATTTCTCTTCTCCAAGAATAACACAACTTTTAGATGACTATGCCAGTATTGCTGCTTGCCTTTTTAGCTGCAACAAATGTATCCATTTGGGCTTGTTTATTCATATTTAATGACAAAGTTTGAGTTGTTGGCTTCACATTTTAAATGGGGTGGTCTGACCATTTGTTACATAGCAATATTTAACTCACATTAAAATTGTCATGCAGATTGGAGTATCCCTGTATTAAAATATAGTGCATTTCTACAGTACAGTCATTTGCCGGTCAACAAACCATGACAACTATACAAAACATCTGGTTAAACCATCTATGAGGGACCACTTAAAGAAATTTGGGGCAAATAACCAAGAATATGGAAAAAATAAGCCCATTGCATGCCTTGTGGCATCATAATTTATCTTATGGCAAAACTCGATGGATTAAAATAGAAAATGGCTAACTCTGGTTACCAATGATGTGTTAAAGGCAGGTAAGGTAAGCAATTACTTGGTCCACAGTAGACTTGCTGGCTTCTTCCTGCTCCCTCAAAACAAAAATTCAGCACCTTTTGCATGGTCTGCTGACAGACAGGGTCATCCGAGTCACCGCCATATATATATATATATATATATATATATATATATATATATATATATATATATATATATATATATATATATATATATATATCATGCCCACCAACCTTCGAGATTAAAATGCGAAACAAGTAACAGGTTTGCATGATAAACAACACTTCTGTATAAGCTGCGTCAGGTCTGTCCCAAGGCTCTGTATGGCAGCTATAATAGCCTTGCCAGGTAGCCTGGCGAGTCAGACACTCGGAAGACTTGGATTTATCATTATTGAGCATCGCTTTGAACCAAAAAACGGTGAACCGAAGGTTTAAGACGGCAAAAATGGCGGTAAAGATAAGTTCCGTGCTTCAAATTGTCTCCTTCATTCCCTGTGAATTGTTCACGCTTGGGTGCATATCAAACATGCTTGGGCGGCTGGCGAATTAATCCAATTTATGTATGAAATACGTACAAGTTGGCAGTTGGAGCATCTTGCAGAGAAATTGGTCAACATTTAAGCAGCAGATGGTACCTCTAAAGACAGTCGAAAAGAGGGTAGAATAAAGCGGTACCACACTGGTGTGATACCAAGAAAAATAAAAGTAGCTATATAAATATAAAGACTGGTACTTTTCTCGCAAAATCTCTTAATCAGCTGATTTGACCTAAAATCTGTTAATATAAATGCTCAGATGGTGATATTCATCTTGTTAGTTTAATTTAGAGAACATTTCTTGAACTTTTTACTCATGCATTTCGGGAGTGATGCAATTTAGTGGCCAAGTTTCTTCGGGAAAAAAGAAATACGTGGAGTAAAATTATCTACCAGGCCTTCTGGTGTTTTCACCAGGCTCTGCTTTCGTGGTGCGGTGGTGAGACCAAAAAAATAGGGGATGCGTTAAAACCTTGCATTTGGCGCACAACTGCGGATCGTGATGCATTTTGTAAACAAACCAAACTTAATGCGTGCAAGCGACTGGGGTCGCTGGGGTTCTTGAGCTTGGAGGTACCTGGCGCCCTTGCTCTGTGCATACATAGACATGGTTCAGATGTAGGTGAGGCAGGACATAGCCATAGGTGTCCAGGTTCTGCGGAG